AAGAAAGCAGTAGTGTAAAAGCAGTATCTTATTTACATTTGAAATAGTAATGCATTGTAAGAATTCAGCATTGCTCTTCACATACATATCACAGCATCTGTAGCCCAAACAGTATGCATGATTTATAAAAATCGTAATACTGTGCCTGAGCAGCTCAAGATGGGATAAAAAGATAAAAAACACTTCATTACAATCTTTTTCACTACCAGGACAGGACAGCTAAAAGAAAGTGAACATAAAAGCCGAAAGTGACAGATTTAAAGATACAGAGTTGTATATAGCTTATATATATTTTTTTTAATTTATTGCTCATTAATTCTACTCTGTATTAACAGTTGGAAAGAAACCCTCAAGAAACACGTATGGAAATACTGTAATTACAATACAGGCTTTATGGTCGCAAGGAAAACCTTCCTATTTTGCAGTAATCCATTTACGTCTCTCCTGGGTTTGGCGAGTAGATATCTGTTAGAGTTAAGCCCTCTTTTAATGCTCAAATTGATCAAGCTTTGCAGATGTGGCTCTGTCTGTTCTTTTTTCAGCCTCTTTTCTAGAGATGCCCCTGCTATGCAGCATCTTCAAGACTAAAGCAGTTACAACAGGCTAAGAGAGATTCCCCAAGTCACATCTTCAGAATACCAGGGCTATTTTAAAATTCTGCACATTCTCCTGACTAGCTAAAATAACCATTTTTGTTCTAACAAGCACATTCCCAAATGGATAAGGAAAGAAAAAACATTTAGGGAGGAAGTCACATGCACATCCATGCTACCAACAGGTGAAACTGGCCCAAAGTTTATACACTATTAAAATCAACACATACCTAAAGGTAAAAAAAAAGTAAAACTTTATGATTTCTCTAGAAATAGCAAATTATTTTTTTCTCCTCCCATTTTCCTACAATATTGGCAATATCCCAACATTAGCTATACGTAAGAATCTAGAGAGACAACGAACTACACGTGAGACTTGCCTATTTTCACTAGCAACTAATGGACACGCTACTCAGCAACAAATACCAAGATTCTGGATTTTAGGAAGTTATTTAAGTTGTAAAGGATGTTATTGCCATCACACTAAGATAAAGACAATAATCTTATTATTCAGTTTAGCATCTGAGAGTAAATAAAAAGCAAAGCTGGCAGATTCTTGAGACATCCTTTTTAGGCAAGTGATTCAAATACCTATTCATCAGCAATGATGATCACAGCACCATGCAATCCATGACATTTAACAAATATTTTAAACATTAAAAGTTGACTTCCCTTAAAGATAACAGTGTACAAGCAACAGAAGAGTGGCATTTATTTCTATCATGCATCACACGTATAAATTGTAAAATAATTAGTTAAATTAAATGATGATGATGTGATGGGTGGAGAACATTTTGAAAATTAGGAGGACCTTAAAGCAAGAAGTTACACTATGATCATGAATTGCTGTAAAACATTACAGTGGTGAAAATAAACCTAATCCTTACCTTCTGTGACACCTCTACAGAACATTTGTATCAACTGGATATTTAGAAATTAATTTTAATGTCAGTAATATATTTTACCCCCCCAAATACATGGGTGAAAAAAAAAACAACCCAAGAAAGCAAGCTATCAGACTATTTTAGAAAATAGCAAGAGGCAGGAAGTAAGAAAAGCCCATGACTTCCCCATCTTTATAGAGGGGGGAAAAAAAAGGACGAAATTTTAGCTAAGCATTCTGCCTACACCTATTTGCATTTTTGTTTACTAGAAAATGAAGCAGCATCACAGCAAAGTTTCATTTCTTTGCTTCAGTTGGTCTCTGGTAACAATATTTGAGAATCTCGAACACATCTTCTGACAGAATTTCTAAAATAATGTAAGCTTGTAAAGTGAGAGTATATTAAAACAGAGAAAAGACACTAGAGAGTTAAACAATAAAAGTGACAGCAAGGATATTGCAGGGAAAACACTCAGCAAAAATCTGAACTACCTACTTTAAAGGCAAGTGGGGAAACCAGAAAGGAAATCCGCCATAATAGCCTGATAATCACCTTAGTTTCAACATTTAAAACTAAGCACAGGCAGATTAACCTATAAACAGACAACACAGAAAAGGCAAGACATACAGATTCAGGCCCAATTTAAAAAACACGCATTCTGTGAAAAGACTTATCATAAACCAGGCTAAAATATATACTAAGCCCTGAACCAGGATTACTAGAAAAGAGATATCAAACGTTAAAAGTTTGAAGAACGGCCATTTACACACTTATGTAGTAAAACCTTTCATCTAACAGACAAGTTAAGGCCTTCTCCACAGAGTGAAAGGAGTCTGGAAAACAATCCCAAGCAGCAAAGTGTAGCTCAGGATGTGTACATGACTGGGCAAGTATGCATCATAAAACATTATTCCCCCTTTACATAAGTATAGAAACGTTCACCACAGAAAAGCATTTCCTGTAAAACTTGGAGCTATCTGGAAGCCAACCAGTTTTCATGCTGAAAACAAAACACAAGGTTGAGCGTCAGCTCCCCATAGGTTGGGACAAATTATGGCCTGTTACCTTTAAAGTTCTTGATCACTAATTTCTTAGCAGAGCCAGGTTTACTGTTGGCGAAACTGGAAACAGTAGAGGAGGCAGCTTTGGTCAGGCCATTTGCATGGTGCCCCACAGCCACTGACGAAATTAAAAGGCTTTTATTTTTGAGCTGTTGTTGGTGCTGCTGTTGAGAAGAGGCAGCAGGAGAGGAGGAGGAAGACGACTCTTCAGCCATCTTCACATCGAGTCCAATAAAATCCACGGAGTCCTCAAAGCGCAGCTTCTTCTGGAGGTGATGATTAGAGGCGGCAACCCCTGAGGAGGAGCACGAGGAGGTGGTGATGACAGAGGAAGATGATGAGGAGGTGTTTTTGGAAGGAGAAGAGGCACAGGAAGAAATGGAATCAAATTCTTCTCTTTCAGAATTGCTGTTGCTGCTATTATTTAACTTTCTCTTCTTGCAGGAGGAGCTGCTGCTGGTATTACCATCAGTGGCAGGTCTGACCTCCTGGGCTGCAGCTGGGGGGTTGGGGGAAGAGAAACCTGTGGGAAACATGAACACACAGAAGTGAACAGGCTGAGGGGCATCAAATCCTTGTGGTGTGACAAAGAGAGAGAGAGTTTTAGAGTCAGTCTGTCTGGTGCCTGGCAGGGGGGGAGGGGGGGGGCGTCTTTCAACTCCTCTCTCTCATCAGTGGAGTCCTTCCGTATTCCCTCTCCTTCGCTTTCTTCTTTCTCGGAGGAATCACTTTATCTGGTCTCTTCCCCTTTTCTTTATTACTTTGCTTCTTCTCGTAGTTTGTCTCTGCTTTCCTGCTTTTACTTCTTTCTCGGCGCAGCGCCTCCGTTCCTGCCTCTCGCCACCCACTAGCTTCTTTCAATTCTTCTCTCCAATAACAGTATTTCCCCGCGGCTGCCCGCTCCCCCGGCTTTTCTTTCCGCTCCCCTCCTG